AGGATTAAAGCAGCTAATAAATGTTTCATTTGAAGCCAGATGTAGATCAAACGTGAGAAAGGCCCCTGGGTCGATCTCTGTTCTCTCCTCCTCCTTCTCCGCCTCCCTCAGCTGTTGGTTTGCAGCTGTATTATGACAGCCACTAGAGTGTCTCACTAACAACTACAGGCCTTGCCCTTGCGCCTACACATCATTAGCTTTCCATCTGTCAGCTTCCAAGCAGGTTCCCACTAAAGTGGCCAAAGACTCACTTGGTGCACTCCTCTCCAGTAGGCAGCAGCACTCAGCAGCACTCCTCTATGTCCTGTTTCATTCTCTTCTCTGACTTTTCCTTCTCTCTTCTTCACCCTCTTCCAATCCCTATGATTTTGGCCTTTACTCCCCCCCCACCCCCCACCCACATCCACTCTTGTCATTCTCCTCCTCAGACTTGTTCTCTAAACTATCAGTCAGATTCAGGGCTGGTGCTGATGGTCAACAGGGGATTAGCAAAAAGGGGAGGCTGAAGAATGTGTGAAAACCACTTAAGTGGCACACTATGGAGGGCAGAATCTCTCTCTCCTTCTCTCGCACACACACACACACACACACACACACACACACACACACACATACACAAAACCCTAAACAGCCAGGCGCAAGCTGTCTCTGACATCACATTTATCACTCAATGCAAACGTGGCCAGACTCCCACTGCTTAGTGCAATATAGGCTCAGAAAATCAACAGAACTACTGCAAGTGTTGCAATGACAGTGAACTGTTGCCCTAAAATAAAATGGAATAATATCAAACAAAAACTTGGGTCAGAATGCACAGAAGATGTAGTGGCTAATGGAAGCAGTGGTGACACTGGTTCTGGCAAATGGGTTGTGTGGCTGCGTGTGTAACTCTATCGCTGGAGGGGGAATACAGCAGTGGTTGGGTAATGGAAAGGTCATTTAGGCAGTCCCCCAGGTAGGGGGGCTGGTCTGACACGGCTCGTTTGTCACAGTTCAATAACTGCCACTCCAGGGAGCGTGAGGGTGGGGGAGAAAACGGGTGAGAGAAGAGTGTGTGTGCTGCATCCCTGGTGTGCAACAGTGTGCTCAGAGCCTGGCAGCACAGCTGATTCCCAGAGCTTGTACCTCCATTAGAGGCCTCAAACGGGGTCAGAGCGAAGGCCAAGCGCCACAGACACAGCCATCTCAACGGGAAAACTTGTAGCCACTGGCCTGGGAGGATTATCTTTGCTCTAACTGGCAGATGTTTGGTTTTCCAAGAGGGAAAACTGAATTTTTACACCTTCTCAACCCAAAGACAGCCACTCCAGAATGTTGTCTTGCTGTAATCCACAGCTTTTGGTCGGGCAGAGTAAAAATGGGAATTTTCTGGTGAAGGATTTTTGAGGTTTAATGGCTGCAATCAGATGACATTTAGGTCAGAGAATATAATTTTTGCATAAATTAAGGAGGTGCATACATACAGTAATTACATCTACAGTATGCTCTAATATAACCACTTAAAACTGGTAATTTATTTGAAATATATTTTGTTACACCCACGCTGAAAAAAAATGCCTGCCTCACAAAGATCAGACAAACTGGAAGCTCTTACACTGCCCTCCACTGCAAACCATGTACTGTATGTTGAAAGTGGGGATTTGTTTGCCAGGTCGAAAAATCAGTCAGACATGTGCATAGTATGTGCACACATATTGAATAACAAAGTTAAAAGATTTACCGGACAAAAAATAAAACAGGCCAACCTGCATCATTCACAGGTGGCTTTATTGATTTGCATTGTGCCTTCAACATGTCACTGGGTATGTGACCCAGTGATTCTGAGCTGTGTGAGAGGGCCAGAGATTTTCATACATCTCACTGAGACACACCAGAGTCTGCCCACCCCCTCACTTTGAAAATCAATAATAATTGTCCATGTCTCAGTGTCTTCCCTGAGATAAGCCCGAGGCACACGTTTGCATTCACCTCACCTGCCCTGACAGATTTGGGATTTTATGTCTGACTCTCTGCAGAGATTTAACAACTGCTGACTGTGTGAATGAAGGGTTACGTCCCATAACACTGGGTTTGTCTGAGGTGTTACAAAGGTCTGTGTCTCCCCCTCGTGGTCGTCACTGGGAAGTACAAAAGAACTGATGAATGAAAATTTATGATGAAGAAGTAGGTCACTTTGTTAAATGGTGCAATGATTCATATTTGCAAATTAATGTCTGCAAAACAAAAGAGAGGCTGGTTGATTTCAGAAGGAATCTGCCTGCTCCAATCTTTAATAACGGCATAGCTGTGCAGACGGTGAGCCAGTGCAGATATCTGGTAACTATTTTGCATGACAAAATGACCTTTGATTCCAATACTGATGCCTTAGGTAAGAAAGTTAATCAGAGATTGTTCATCTTAAGGAGGCTGAGGTCTTTTAATGTTGATAGACTCCTTTTGAAAACATTCCATCCATCTTTTATTAAGTCAGTTTTAACTTTTGCAGTGATCTGTTGGTTTGGCGATCTCTGTATGACTCATAGGAAAAGGTTGGGAAATATTGTTAAACTGTGTCAGAAGATCATTGGCATTAATTTAAGTGATCTTAGTCATGTTTATCATGCAGGAGTTGTTCCATCAGGAAGGAGGTTTGAGATCATTTGTGCCATCAGCTGTTGGCTTTTCCAATAAAATTATAGGTTTGGTTGCTAATGTGTTATTTTAAGTTATTTTATATAAAGATAATGAGCTGATGGACCTGTTTTTTATATTCTAGTACACTTTCCATGATGACAACACTAAGTTATATGTACTGAGTTGGTATTATCCCAAATTGCCCCTACTTTCCAATCCAACCCCACTGTTCCAAAGCCCAGGACAAAAACCTTCTGTGAGGCACCTTTTAGTTTTTATGCTCCAAACTGTTGGCACTGTCTGAGGAGCTGAGAACAGTTGAAAGTGTTGATGTTTTTAAAGATAAACTTAAATCCAGCCCCTTTAATTTGGTTTTTAATTAGAAGAGTTTACTGTCATTATTTATTCTATATTGTTATTATTCTCTCTCGAGGAGTAAAGTTCCAGAGCCCAAGCTGTGCGTGGAGGTGAGCCCGACTATATCTAGCCGGTACCTCTCAACCTCCTGCACAAGCTCGGGCTCCTTCCCCACCAGCGAGGTGACATTCCATGTCCCCAGGGCTAGTCTCCGTGTCCAGAGATCGGGTCGTCGGG